GACTTTGAAAAACTTCAGAAAACAATAGGTGGACTTATGTCATTTAATAATTTCTTGTCCACTAGCACAAAGGAAAAAGTATCTCTCAGTTTCGCCCAAAATGCTTCAACAGAATCAAATAAGGTACGCATTCTCTTTATAATGTCCATTGATCCGAGTTTGAAATCAACACCATTTGCCTCCATCAAAGAGGTCAGCTATTTTAAAGAAGAAGAAGAAATTCTCTTCTCAATGGGCACCGTCTTTCGAGTGTGTGCAATTAAACTAATGGACAATAAGAATCAAGTTTATCAAGTTGAATTACAATTAACATCGGATGATGATAAACAGCTACGATCACTTACTGATCGGATACGAGAAGAAGCTGGTGGTCTTATTGGATGGCAAAGATTAGGTAAATTATTGATTAAAACTGGTCAGTTTAATAAAGCTGAAGAGCTTTATAATATACTACTCGAACAGACATCTGATCAGGGTGAAAAAGCGGTTTTTTATAATCAGCTCGGACTTATCCATTTCAATCAAGGTGATAATGAAAAGGCTATGCAGTCTTACGAACAAGGACTTAAAATCCATGAACAAACTCTTCCTTCAGACCATCCTAATTTGGCTACTTTATACAACAACATCGGTTTGATGTATGACAACATGGGGGAGCATTTGAAAGCACTTTCATCTCATGAAAAAGCACTTGAACTCTATCAAACAACTCTCCCTTTAAATCATTCTGATTTGGCTACTTCATACAGCAATATCGGTAGTGTGTATGACCACATGGGAGAGTACGTGAAAGCACTCTCATATTACGAGCAGGCGCTTGAAATTCAACAAAAAACTCTTCCTTCAAATCATCCTTCGATGGCTAATTCATACAACAACATCGGTCTGGTGTATGACCACATGGGAGAGTACTTGAAAGCACTTTCATCTCACGAAAAAGCACTTGAAATTCGACAAAAAACTCTTCTTTCAAATCATCCTTCTTTGGCTACATCATATAACAACATCGGTTTGGTGTATGACAATCTGGGAGAGTACTCGGAAGCACTTTCATCACACGAAAAAGCACTTGAAATCCATGAAAAAACTCTTCCTTCGAATCATCCTTCTTTGGCTACTTCATTCAACAACATCGGTCTGGTGTATGACCACATGGGAGAGTACTCGAAAGCACTTTCATATTATGAAAAAGCAGTTGAGATTCAACAAAAAACTCTTCGTCTAAATCATCCATCTTTGGCTACTTCATACAGCAACATCGGTAGTGTGTATGACAACATGGGGGAGTACGTGAAAGCACTCTCATATTACGAGCAAGCGCTTGAAATTCAACAAAAAACTCTTTCTTCGAATCATCCTGATTTTGCTACTTTATACAACAACATCGGTAGTGTGTATAACAAGATGGGAGATTACTCGAAGGCACTTTCGTCTCACGAAAAAGCAGTTGAAATTCAACAAAAAACTCTTTCTTTAAATCATCCTTCGCTGGCTACTTCATACAACAACATCGGTCTGGTGTATGACCACATGGGAGAATACTCGAAAGCACTTTCGTTTCATGAAAAAGCACTTGAAATTCAACGAGAAACTCTTCCTTCGAATCATCCTGATTTGGCACAGTCATACAACAACATCGGTATGGCGTATGACAACCTGGGAGAGTACTCGGAAGCACTTTCATCACACGAAAAAGCACTTGAAATTCGACAAAAAGCTCTTCCTTCGAATCATCCTTCTTTGGCTACTTCATTCAACGACATCGGTCTGGTGTATAGCAAGATGGGAGAGTACTCGAAAGCACTTTCGTTATACGAAAAAGCACTTGAAATTCAACAAAAAAATCTTCCTTCAAATCATTCTCACTTGGCTGCTTCATACAACAACATTGCTTCGTTGTATAAAAACATGGAAGAGTATTCGAAAGCACTTTCGTTTTATGAAAAAGCAGTTGAGATTCAACAAAAAACCCTTTCTTCAGATCATCCTGATGTGGCTATTTCATACAACAACATCGCTTCGTTGTATAAAAACATGGAAGAGTACTCGAAAGCACTTTCATATTATGAACTGGCTCTGGACATCAAACAACGTGCACTACCCACAACTCATCCCAGTATTAAAAAAGTGAAAGAGAGAATTGAAATTGTAAAAGAAGAAATGAAAAAGAAAAAGTGATAAATAAATAAAAGAATGTTTTATTCACTTATGTTGAATTAGTTCTAGTTTGTAGTGACTCGCGCATGGCTGCAGGGAACAACTCTGTAAATAATAAAGACGTAATCGATAAAGCCAACTGATAAGGTAACACACATACATACGTATATGTACAAATGATCTTTTCAGATATCTTTACATTTCTAATTCTTTACGAACGTTCCCTATAATAAAAGAAGAATAACTTACATGAAACTGGATTGTAAGTGTTGAACGAGGCCTCATATGACGAAGAAAAAATAAAAAATCTACGATATATATATAAATGGATATGTCATCAACATCTTCAGGATGTAGATAAAAATAGATGCAATAGCAACACTCACACGCATTCTCAATATTGGAACAGAAAGAATAACTCATTCTATTGATAAAATAAACCTTTTCTATGTTTCCGTCGAGTATCTTTCTTTCTTATCTAACACAACGAAAATTTACTTGTTCAGATATAATAATGTAACCATAAAGGTCTTTTCTACTATACATATCTATTCAATATGTATTGTTTACCTTACCGGTGAGTATTGCTGCTCATATTGTGTTCTCAACAAGAGCGGAGTGTCAATAGACATATTTTCTTTTTCATCAGTTTTATTCTACTTTCAAAGAAAAATAGAGAAAGGAATTATAATTTCGTTTTTATGTTTTCGAGGTTTCCTCTATACATTTTAAGATCCGGATGATTTGTTGGTAATGATTGTTCTCCAATTTTTACAGCACGTTCATAAAATGAATGCGCTTTTGAATAGTTGCCCATATTCTCATACACCACACCGATGCTGTTATAGGAAGCAGCCAAATCAGGATGATTCGAAGTAAGTGACTGTTGTTGAATTGCAAGGGCTTTTTCATAATAAGATAGTGCTTTAGGATAATCACCCATACTGTTATACACCAACCCGATGTTGTAATATGAAACACCCAAACTAGGATGATTGGAAGGAAGTGATAGATGTCGAATTGTAAGAGCTTTTTCATGAGATGAAAGTGCTTTTGGATAATCACCCATACCGTTATACATCAAGCCGATGTTGCTATAGGAATTAGCCAAATCAGGATGATTGGACGAAAGTGATTGTTGTCGAATTGTAAGGGCTTTTTCATGAGATGAAAGTGCTTTCGGATAATCACTCATGCTGTTATACAGATTACCGATGCGCATGTAGGATAAAGCCAAATCAGAATGATTGGAAGGGAGTGATTGTTGTAGAATTGTATGGGCTTTTTCATAATAAGAAAGCGCTTTTGGATAATCACCCTTGTTGTAATACACCAAACCTATGTGGCTATAGGAATTACCCAAGTCAGGATGATTGGAAGGAAATGATTGTTGTCGAATTGTAAGGGCTTTTTCATGAGATGAAAGTGCTTTTGGATAATCACCCATGTTATTATACACTAAACCGATGCTGTTATAGGAAGCAGCCAAATCAGGATGATTCGAAGTAAGTAATTGTTGTCGAATTTTAAGGGCTTTTTCATAATAAGAAAGTGCTTTTGGATAATCACCTAATTTGGCATACACCATACCGATGCAGTTATAGGAAGCACCTACATGAGGATGATTGACAGGAAGTGATTGTTGTCGAACTGCAAGGGCTTTTTCATGAGATAAAAGTGCTTTTGGATAATCACTCATACTGTAATACACCAAACCGATGTTGTTATAGGATATAGCCAAATCAGGATGATTGAAAGGAAGCGATTGTTGTAGAATTCTAAGATCTTTCTCATAATAACAAAGTGCTTTTGGATGATCACCCATGCTATCATACACCGAACCGATGTTGTTATAAGAGCCTCCCAAATCAGGATGATTGGAAGGAAGTGATTGTTGTCGAATTGCAAGAGCTTTTTCATAATAAGAAAGTGCTTTTGCAAAATTACCCATGCTGTCATATACAGTACCAATTTTGTTATAGGAGTCTCCTACGTCAGGATGATTGGAAGGAAGTGATTGCTGTCGAATTGTAAGAGCTTTTTCGAGAGATGTAAGTGCTTCTTGATCTTCTCCTTGATTATGTTTGATTCCACCTAGTTGATGATAAATATTTGCCATGTCACTTTCATTTGCTGCTTGATGAAGTAAAACTTCATAAACTTCTTGAGCTTTGTTAAACTGACCCATTTTAATCAACAATAACCCTAATCTGTGCCATCCTGTCGAATTCAGAAAGGTTTCTTGTCGTATACGATCAGTAAGAGCACGAAGGTCTTGATCGTTGTCATTGGTTAATGTTAAGTTCACTTGATAAAGATGATTGTTTCCTTCCATTGGTTGAATATCTCCAATACGAAAAATACTATGCATAGAGAAGAGAACTTCATCTTCCATATCAAAATTACTAACATCACTAACAAAGGCAAATGGAGTTGTAGAATCACTTGGATTAATTGACATAACAAATAAAATTCCAACAAGATCAGGATTTGTATCACCTTGTGGTGTGAAAAGGAGAGAAACATCACGATTTTTACTAGTTGATAAAAAGTTATTAAATGAAAGAAGTCCACCTTTAGTATTTGTCATTTCGGTGAATTCTTCTTTTGAAAGACGTTGTCCACGATAAACTGTTAATGTTTCACCAGATTGTTGACCATGAAATTGTTCCGAATAGAGTCGTTGAATATCACGATGTAGATCATTAATGAAGAAACCAATTCGAAGAATAATATCAACATCCATTAATCTTAATGCTTGATTGAGCATCGAATATAAAAAACATTCAGAAGTATACCACCAAATAACTGTATGACCACGATAATTACGTTCGAATGCTTCAATTTTACTTAAATCAATATCATTTTTGGCAACTGCTTCACGATAATAAGTAATAAATTCTTGAAAATGTTTGTCTTCGAAGTTGATGGTTAATAAGATTTCTTTTAAGATCTGAGTATACATAAATGATGGATCTAATTGATCCAATTTCTTGTTTGGTGCCACAAAGCTGATTGAAATGGTATTTTGCTCACATTGGTGAGTAGCTTGTTTAAGAGCTTTACAGATTGATGCTATATCTGTGAAGACTCCTTTTACTTTAGGCCATTCTGTGGTCCATTGTTTATGGCATTCTTGGTTGTTAGAAAAAATAAAAATGGTGTCTACTTGCGACATTTTATGCACACGAGGCACGATATGTTGTCCAAGTGAATCAGAAACAATCATACACACTTTGTTATTGGTAATGGTTTGAATAAATTCAATACATTCTTCACCATTTGTAAATATATTTACGTTGTTAACAACACGTTTCAGTTGCTTGATTATATTATTACAATCAGCATTATTGTCATTAATATTGTTGTCTAACCAAATAAAGAGGAGATTTTGCATTCTTTGCATGTTCATATGTCGATTTGCAGTTGGACGGGTGGAGAGACCAGACGATGGGTTACTTGTTTTTATGTCACTTGATTGACTAGTTGCCATTGGTTCTGATTATTTGCTACGTATACTAAGAATGTGTTGTATTTGAGTAGCTTGAGAAACTTTGCAAGTGAAAGAATGATTAAAGGAGCTCGTTCTATAGTGTCTCTACCTCTTATCTAGATTTTTTTCTTTTTTTTTGAATTGGACACCAACGCCTTTTTGATTGAAAATTGTAGATGCTTGTTATGAAACCAAACGAAGATCAAGACACACATTCCTTATTAATAAGCAGAAAATGAAAAAGAACTGATTCAGTGTTTGTACACCTGTCAGTCACTAAAATAATCCGCAAAAAGAAATTTTACTACGGATTCTGGCGAAGAGAAAACAAATCTGTAGGGTTGTTTTCTTTTTGCTCTCATGTCTCGTATTATTGGAGACTCAAAAGCTAGAAATAGTTATATTATCGTAGACATTAGAATATATAAAAAATGACAAAATAATGCTGATCAAACATAAAACACTTATATTTCTTTCTTTCTATGGTCAAATATATGAAACAGAGTGAAAACTATTTAAATTATCATGTTATTTGTCGTTCTTATTAATTTTGTTCTTTTTATTACTATTTTATAACATCATACGAAATACTATATAATGCTGTATAAAAACATTGAAAAGAGGGCATTATAATAATGTTAGATTTAAAACAAACGAATGAGAAAAACACTGATCGTTACTCCGCTAGCTAGGCAAATAAAAAACTGGTAAAAGAGAACTATCTTGTGCATCGCTTTCAACAATATCTGTCATAAAAGTGACTGAAAATGAAGTGAAACATAAGTATATAATGAAAGAAATACATAACAAATAAATTATATCAGAAAATCAAGTTTTATCTACTCTTTTTCATAATAGAAAAACGCTGTGATAGGCTCGATATTGTTTTTTTTTCGCATTCCCAGATGATTAAAACGAAAAGAAAAAGCAAAAGTTAGACGTCATCTTCTTCTTACAAATACTCTACAGCCGAAAGTACAGCTGACGTTCGATGATGAATCAGCTAGATATTTAAACAATAAACCATCAGCGTTTTTGCAACATTAGCTAGTTTAAATTCTCGATTTAGATGAACTCATTTGTTGAATTAGTGTCATTTGTACGTTGAAAGTATATAAATTCGGCATCGAGCTTCGCATCGCATTTCGCAGACGAGTTTTGACTCGTGTGCCATTTAGTTATTTAAAAAACAATTGCATAAAAGATTAAACGATCCAATTGATATATTTGATTATTTATCATCTTCAGTTCCCAGTAAACCCTGGAAATGTTTTAATGCAACAATACACGTTCGATATGTTAAACGAGATATAGAATCAGATAGAAGATAAATTCGAATATATGTAGTCACAAGCAAAATATTATGATCTAGTTAATTTATATCAGAAACAATTTTATTAAGATGCCAAGAGATTCAACGTAAATACCTTAACTGTTCTCCCAGATGATAAGTGTACTAATAAAATTAATGAACAATTTTATATTCGTCCTATTCAAAAGATGTACTATTCGATCAATTCATTTGTTATCCTTATACAATGAATGAAAAAAATAACTAATATATATTTTTTTTAATATATTAATAAAGAAGTAGAGTGAATTTTTATTGAACAAAAAAAAAGTCACTAATAATCACATTATAGTTCCACAAGAAAAAAAA